AGATAAACCCAAAATGAAAATTCAATTTATCTAGGTCCGTTAATTAAGTTGACCAGTTGATTGGTCTTTTCGACTGATCCATTTAGTTGAAAATCGCTCATTTTACCACTATTTCGCTAATCTACTTGGAATGAGGCGAAGCTCCACCATGCATAAACCAAATACGGTGCATGATTCTGAATAGAACGGTTTCCAATAATCCATTTAAGTTTTTTCTTTTGATATTGGGTACACGATTTACTGGTTAATTCCTCATTTGGAGATACGGTGTTTAGACAGTCAACTCAAACGTGAAATATCGTGCACTTTTTATACATAACCGAACGAAGAAATCAGTTTGTCGAAAGAATAACCGGAATACAGAAGTGGTTATAACTCGGTAGCAAGCTCGGATAGAACAAACGCTTATAAAAACTTTCTTTGTTACAGAGTCTTGATTATACGAGTCTCGTTTAATCGGAGATCTGTACAATCCGTGTTGCTTTGAACTTTTTATCGAATAGTGGCTGTTTTTCAGCTTAAAAATGAAATATCGACATACCACCTAACTATGTTTCTATCAATAGCAGCAAATTATCGGTTGTTTAAGGCGAAATAAGTCATTATTTCCATTTTAAAAGTACCTTTCATCCGCCATATTTATTTTGCGCCACCATAGAATTCAGTGATAACTTTTATAATATAAAATAAGAATGTCAACATATTTTGAAAGATATATTGAAATAATCTATATTTATATGTAGATGGATATGCATATGTGATTACATGTAATTAATACACTTATTAGCTAATATACTTACAATAATTTACTGATTGCAAAAGAGTAGAAAGCAAAGTTATCTAATTTTTATCTAAGAAATTACAGTTTTATTAAAAGTACCACGTTTGACAAAGCGTTATATTACTGTTTTGGTCCCCGTAGAATACAAAGAAATAAATAACAGTAATAAAATTGCTGTTCCGTACATGCCTTAAAATTATTTAAAATTATTTTTTCAAGTTAATAATTTTATGTCATATAATATGTCGTTTTCGTGCTGTCAACGGTTTGGAGAGGTGCTGCTACTATCGTACGCAGATTAATAATGTACAGTGTGATACTATCTATATGATGCACATATGTTACGTACGGGTACATACACATATTGCGACTTGAAATTATTACCCTGTTTATGTAGTTCGTGTTCAGTGCGTCTAAAATACATAGCAACGTCAATAAATGGAATTAGAACTGCAAGTAAATGCGATCATCCGATGCGACTCCATCAAAATGGGGACGAGTTCTTTTTATCTTATTTCTTGGCGTAAAAAAATAATTTCAGTTGCACTAAAAGTTCGGAATGGTAGATGTTGACTTAATTTTATAATTTGATGTGAACATCGTTTCGATGAATTTTGTGTTAATTATTTTTTATTAATTTCTTATCAAATTGAAGATATTTTTTACTGTTTACATGTTTTACATTAAATACAATAATTAAGTAGGGTTAAAAATTGCGTTACATTGGAAAAGTTATAACATATAATTACATTTATTGTCACGATCGATGTGCATTGATTTATATAATCCTTGTCAACGTTATCGTGAGTCGACGTGAAGGTGAACAATATTTCACGCGTTAAACTAGGTTTTGAAGAAATTTTAAATATCCTGCAGCTTCCATGTAATTGATTGTTTCTTTTATGGCACACTGGTTTAACGTTTAATAAATCCGTGGCAACTAAATACCCCCGGGAAATTAAATACTCGAATTCTTATTTCGGTGTGCTATTACCTTGAAGATAGAAAAAGAACTACAGTCTTGTTATAGTCTGCAGAAAATTAAAAGAAAAGAGAGCGAACTTGCAATCTTCTATAGCGTAAAATGTTGTCCGAAGATTAATAGTACTGTCAAAGTTATGTAAACATTAATTTATAAACCTTCAAATTTTTTTATGGAAATTTACAAAAATTTATTTATTATTTTCTACTTTTTTCACTTTTTTATTATTGTTTATCATTTTCTACACTTTTTAATTATTTTATTATTGTTTCCTATTTTCTACCTTTCGTAACTTTTTTGTTACTATTCACTATTTTTACTCTTTCACACTTTTCATCAAAGTATTTCTTCAAAAACCAATATTCATGATTGAAATTTTCACTTAAAAATATTGCAACTGCGTATACGTTTCTATTTTTTTCTCTACATCGAACACTTCCAAAGATATTTATCTACTTATTTTACAAATTTGAATCTTTGGTTTTGCTTTTTCCTATAAAAAACAATTTGTACAAAATACATGTGTCCAAATTTTACTTTTCGTCTAAATTATATCAAAATTGAAGGATAGAGGATTTGTATAACATTCCGTCACCATAGTGTCTATTACACGATTTACTAAAGATACGATAGTCACATCTCCTATATTTTTAGCGAAGTTAGTAGCCGTTGCATGATTTCCTCCCATGAATTACACGAATAAAACCCTAAGGGTCAAGGCTTAAGGAATAGTATCGTGTCTCGTGATCACTTTCCTTTAGACGTGTGTCGCTGATTACGTTTTAGTACTTTATTCAATTATGAAACATCACGTGCTTTCACATACACGGAAAATAAACAAAAACATCGGGTACTTTACGACGTTGAAAATTTATAAATATTCAGATTCTATTTACAGATGTCAACCCACGAGTTGGCGCGTGGTTGACCAAATGTAAGAGAAGCTGTATTCCCAATTCATTCCAACTTTACATTTCGGCAAATAAGAATAAAAATGACAAGTGCTAAACGCAATTCGCACTATCTCACTGACTCTTGAGATGTTTGCCGACTGTTATTGTTTTTGTCCTAATTGGTGCGATTGCTTAAAGTTAATTATACTATCGCCGAAAACAAGAGTTACTCTAGGCGATCATTTTTCTACTCTGACCAATAGTAGCTCTTCTAAACACTTGGATCAGTTTCTTCGCGCGCCATTTCGTGGGTGGACTTCAGTATGTGGGAATATGGAATCTGGTGTTTCACAATTTAGGGATTTAACAATGTCGAAGTTGGAGTTTGGATGTTGGCGTATTCAGAAATGTAGGAAAAGCTTATGAAAATTTCAGAAATTGGATATTTAGAAAAATAGAAAGTTGAGCTTATGCAAAATTTGAAAATTTGGATATTTAGAAAAGTAGGAATTCGGGCTTATGGAAATTCGAAAATTTGGATATTCAAAAGCGTAGAAATTTGCTTTCCTGAAATTTATATATTTAGATAATTCAGAAGTGTAGAAATTTGATTTTTGGAAATTGAAAAACTTAGATATTCAGAAACGTAGAAAATTTATTAGAAATTTGAAAATTTCGACAGAATTCTGACCAATTACAGTAACTCTTTTAAACACATAGGTCAGCTTCTTCGCGCACCATCTCGTGGATTGACTAGCAACGTACGTATACATTTCGAACAATTTATATCAAGTAACTATTTACCGTAAAATTTGTCTACATGATGCACAAAAGAATACATAAATAAAATATTTTTGCACTAGTTAAAGTTTTTACTTCTTTCATTTATTAGCTGTTACTGCAAAAATGATAAATGAAGTATTAATTTATTTCTTGTTCGCTCAGAAAAAAAAAGTTATTTTAACAAAATAAAATATATTTTAATATATTTTAATATGTATTTTCTTGCCAATGTAAATAAAATGGTTAATTTGTTTGAAACCGTAGTCTCATTATAATTCCTAAACTTAAACCATGCTTTCCTATTATTACAACACTGCACTAATTTTTATAACATAACCTTTAAACAGTATCAACTTTCTATTTTCTATCATTAGGCTTTTATATAATCTTATTTTCTCAATCTTGAATTGAAGGATTCTTAATCCTATATTGAAAGATAAACCTTCAAATTTTTTTATAAATTGCATTTAAGCAGTTAAACAAACTTTCAATAGATAATTTCATATTCGGCATCATTTATTAACTAAAAAAAATCACAATAATTATTTAGAAATAGACTCTCTACGTATAGTTTATCTTTGACCTTTTCACGTATATTAATTTGATCTTCCTTTCTCCTTATCTTTAACCCCCCGTTAGTCACGCGTGTATCTACATGATGCATAGCTGATTATCTGCAAAATAATTACAGGTATAATAATTGTAGAAAATGGAGATTTATAGTAGTACTCGGCAGATGTTTTCCGAAGCTATTCCCAGAAATGCAATCAAAACATGTTCCGACTACTGCGTTCGTACTTCGCTCTATGTTTAAAATTACCAACAAATACGATTTGTAATCAATGTTTTAACATGTAAATCAAAGCCACTAATTTCTTCGATTAATGTCATATAAAGTATTTTGAACAAATAATGTAACTTTTAGTTTTAATTTTGTCGTTAAACGTATGAAAATTTAGAACATAAAAAACACATCCAAAAATTAGAAACTTTTGTTGAAAATATTTTTTTGAACTTCATAAAGTTGCTAAATTAAAAACTCAGAAAATAAGCATAATTACTTTTATGTATTAAAATAATGAAAATAATAAAATAATTATAATACAATTCGCATTATTGTAAATTATAAACCATAAAATTTCAGGAAGAATTCAACTTTAAACAAAGTAAACTTCATTTTATTTTGTTTATTTAGTTTATTTTCTAATTTATCTCAAATTAATACCTCTTTTTTCAATAACACTTTTTTTTTATAATATCACTATTTTTTATAATATTTTACTGGATAAGACAGAAATAAGTCTTAATTTAAAAAGTAAAGAAGCACGAAAAGTATCTTTGTAAATAAATATCATTCTCTTTTAGATCATTTCAGATGCCATTTTACATTCTTCCACTCTAAAGTACAGGTCTGAAAATGTTAAGAATTAACCAGTAAAACACCTGTAGTTTGTAGTCAATGAATATTTCATGTACACAACTAAAATAAAATTAACCGTTCTAATGGATTCGCAAAAGTATGCTTTGAACTTTGAAAGCTCTTATAGAATTGTAAAGGAAAATGGAGAAATGTAGATGCAAAGGAGGAATGCCAGAAAAAGAACAAAACGAAGAGTCGAAGAGAATACGACCAGATAAAATGAAGAAGACGGTGCTTGTGGAACTTTGGAATTCAGGCAGAGCTGCTCCGTTTATGAAATATTCGATATACTCTGCGGCTCCTTGCACGAATGAAATTTCAACCAGGTCGAAGTGTTTCCTAAGAACCTTCCGGAACATTACTAATTCGATGGTTTCGTGTACGCGTTCAACTTCGAAAAGAGTGTTTCAGTTGCATTGATTTAGATACACTCAGATGCAACTTTAGGCTACCTTTGGTTAATGACAAATACGTAAACTTGGTCTTTCTTTTTAAGTTCTCAGAATTAAACATTTTTAGATTTCCGAATTTATGAATTGCCAAATTAGCATATTAGTATATTAGCAAATTGTCGAATTATCGAATTGCCGAATTATTGAATTATCGAGTTACTGAATTACGGAGTTATCGAATTATCGAGTTGTAAAGTTATCGAATTATTGGGTTATCGAGTTATCGAATTGTGAAGTTATAGAATCATTGGGTTATCGAGTTATCGGCAATCAAATTATCAATTTATTAAACATCAAATTATCGAATTATTGATTTATTGAATTATCGAATTACCGAATTACCGAATTACCGAATTACCGAATTATCGAAGTATGGAATTATCAAATTATTGAATTACCGAATTATCGAATTATTGAATTATCAAATTATCGAATGATCGAATCATCGAATCATCGAATTACCGAATCACCGAATTGTCGAATTATCGAATTATCGAATTATCAAATTATTGAATTATCGAATTACCAAATTATTGAGTTGTCAAATTATTGAATTATCGAGTTTATTGATATAGGGAGTTCAAGAATATACAGATTTGAGATTATAGGAATTTGGGGATATAGAGATTTGGGGATTTGAGGATATAAGGATTTGGGGATATTGGGGATATTGGGGATTTGGAGATTTGGAGATTTGGGGATTTGGGGATTTGGGAATTTGGGGATTTGGGGATTTGAGAATTTGAGAATTTGAGGATTTGGGGATTTGAGGATTTGGGGATATAGGGATTTGGAAATATTGGTATTTGGAAATATAGGTATTTGAGAGTATATGGATTTGGAGATATTGGCATTTGGAAATATAGGTGTTTGAAAATATTGGCATTTGGAAATATAGGAATTTGGGAATATTGGCATTTGAAAATATAAGGATTTGAGAATATTGAGATTTGGAAATATAGAGATTTGTTAATATGGAGAAATGGAAATATAAAAATTTGGAAATATAGAGAGTTAGATGCATAGGGATTTGGGTGCATAAGGATTTCGGGATTAAAAAATTTGAGAGTACAGAAATTTGCAAATGTAGGGATTCAGGGATGTAGTTATTTATTACAATGGAGATTTGGAAATATAGCAACTTGACGATGTAAGGATTTAAAGATGTAGAAATTTGAGAATGCAAAAGCTTGCGGAACTATTTAGAATATAATATTTTAGGAATTTAAAGATTAGGAAATCCAAAAATTTCAGGATCTAACAATTTGGAGATCTACGCTTTTGTAAAAAATAGAAAGGAAACTTATTTACATTTGTTCAAATTTCCAAATTTCAATTGAGTTGTCAAATTATTGAATTATCAAGTTATCGAATAATTGGGTTATCGAGTTACCAAATAATTGGGTCATCGAGTTACTAAATTATCAAATTATTAAATATCAAGTTATCGAATTATTGAATTATTGAATTACTGAATTACCGAATTATCGAATTATGAAGTATGAAATTATCCAATTATTGTATAATTGAATTATCGAGTTTTCAAATTTACCGAACAATTCAATTATTGAATAAAACAATTACTTTTCAAGATCTACCAAGTTTTCAAATCTTCAATTGAGTTGTCTGACTCCCAGATTAAAGATGGCATGTAAAATCTCAACAGTGGTTCATGTAGAATTTTTATTAGGAAATGTTTATTAAGAATTCAATTTTTACCATTATTTATATTAGATTTTTATACATTCATATAACATTCTCTATATATTTATATTATTTTAAAAAATAATAAGAAATAAGTTGCAATTGAAAACTACTAGCAGGTTAGTATTTTGCATACGTTACTTTACTCAAGAATTTTATAAACATTCCTGAAACGAAGTTTGAAGAAATTAAAAATTAAACTTAAACTTACAATTTCTTTATTTTTGGTTTTTTCTTTCCTCTCTTGTTATACGAAAATTATATTAACGTTAAAATTATAATAAAAGTAAAATTATATTAATTGCGCTCATCGCTACTAGATGGCGCATGACGTCGAAATCTTTCTCGCTAGTACTCAATGAGTCCCACGTCTAAGAAACCGTTTATGCTATTCCAGTATACCGTGTTACTAGCACAGATCAGTAAGTAGTCGAACTTTTGCATTTCTTACTTTGCCTGATAATTATTAAAGTTTCTTTTTATAAAACACTCGGTTCATTTTATTTCCTATAATGTTTTTTTTAGTTGAACGCTTTAGATCACATACACCATCTTAGGTTATTAGTGACCACATTTGAATTGGGATTTAAAAATGTACAGTGATTACAAAATTACAAAATTTCCTTCTCCGTTAACTTTTCTTTTCACATAATAAATATTGCCCGCGCAACAGGGTGGTTAATTCCGTTAAATCTCCCAAAAAACCCAACGCTTTGGTCGAACTTTAAATGTGACAAATGCTCGCCTTTGAAACTAATAACTCAGCCTACACTCTTTTGCCTGCGCACCGAAGATATATGGCACGGACATTTGTTATTAATTACAGGTTTAAACATTTGCAGAAGTATCAAGGTGCGTGTTGTGTGGAGTGCTTAAAGCGCATGTCGTGTCGTCGCCCCGGTTTGTTTGGGTTACAATGTATCACTCTGAAAGATTGCCTTGGTACTCGTCCCTGTTCCAGCGCAACAAAAACTAGTATAAATAATCTCTTACTGTTCGATAGTGCTTCCTACGCATGCGTTTATCTACGATAGTGTGAGCGCAGTTTTTGCGATCACCTTATCAGCTATTCGTTCAATTATTAGCGCCCCAGGTCGTCGAATACACTATTTTTAAAAAACGACGCAGAACTGAGATTAAGAAGAAATTAAAATTCAGTTTTCTTTTCAAAATAGTAAAAGAGCGATTCTAGAAAAAAACTGATTTAATAACAGCATCCTACGTTTAAGGGAAAAAGTTTTAAAGTTTTAAGAAATAGCAAATTTGATTAAGGAATGATTTCAGTAATTCAGGGTAAAGAATCAAAAATTTTGACCTGGCACTAAATTCATAAGATTACGCGATTCGCGTGAGTGACATTTTAATGTTTTCGAAGAAAGCATTTGAACTAAAATATCAGAAGGCTGCAACTGATCACATTTGTGAAATGATGTCGGAATACTAAAGTTATGATAAACTGAAAGAAGGTAAAAGACATCGAAGTTGGAATCTCTATTTGTCTTTGGAGGTAGATTAGGTAGTCGCGAAAAGTTCCCGAGAAAATACGAGAACGGTAACGTCAAGGGTGGCCTCGCTAGCGTGATATGCACTGAAGTCGTAAATATTTATCAAGATTGGCCCCGAGGTAGTACGACATACTCCTCAGCGTATCCGCAACTCCGTAAGTCTGTTTTCTCAGCACGCCCGAAGGCCTGCACAGACATAAGCCACCCTTGTCTTGTCTCTTTGTCCATATTTTTTTTTTCTTGCATTCTGTCCCGTCCTTTTTTTTACAGATCCATCCAACCCGTTCCGTCTTACCCTTCTCTTATTATTTTTATACTTCTCCGTTACTCGTTGATTTTTCGCCCCCGAGTCTCATTTTTTCGTGCTGTAAGATACCAAGGTGCTACTGCATCTTCATAAAGTTCCAGCGAAAAGTGGGACTCCTGATTCCGGAGGGGTTAAAACCACCGCATTCCTTGTTTCTTACTATGGCGCAGACAGTATCGTGAACGCACAGTCAAAAGCATATCTGGCTTCCCTAGAGAGAATACAACGGAGGAGAAGAAGGACAACACTCGTTGACCTTTGGACATTTTCGAAAAATCCAAAATTTGGGTTGAGATATTTAGGACGCGGTATTTGACGAATTTTGGAATTTATGAATATAGTAGTTTATACATATAGGGAGTTCAGGGATATACAGATTTGAGATTATAGGAATTTGGGGATACAGGGATTTGGGGATTTGAAGATTTGGGATTTGGGAGATTTGGGATTTGGGAGATTTGGGATTTGGGAGATTTGGGATTTGGGAGATTTGGGATTTGGGAGATTTGGGATTTGGGAGATTTGGGATTTGGGAGATTTGGGATTTGGGAGATTTGGGATTTGGGAGATTTGGGATTTGGGAGATTTGGGATTTGGGAGATTTGGGATTTGGGAGATTTGGGATTTGGGAGATTTGGGATTTGGGAGATTTGGGATTTGGGAGATTTGGGATTTGGGAGATTTGGGATTTGGGAGATTTGGGATTTGGGAGATTTGGGATTTGGGAGATTTGGGATTTGGGAGATTTGGGATTTGGGAGATTTGGGATTTGGGAGATTTGGGATTTGGGAGATTTGGGATTTGGGAGATTTGGGATTTGGGAGATTTGGGATTTGGGAGATTTGGGATTTGGGAGATTTGGGATTTGGGAGATTTGGGATTTGGGAGATTTGGGATTTGGGAGATTTGGGATTTGGGAGATTTGGGATTTGGGAGATTTGGGATTTGGGAGATTTGGGATTTGGGAGATTTGGGATTTGGGAGATTTGGGATTTGGGAGATTTGGGATTTGGGAGATTTGGGATTTGGGAGATTTGGGATTTGGGAGATTTGGGATTTGGGAGATTTGGGATTTGGGAGATTTGGGATTTGGGAGATTTGGGATTTGGGAGATTTGGGATTTGGGAGATTTGGGATTTGGGAGATTTGGGATTTGGGAGATTTGGGATTTGGGAGATTTGGGATTTGGGAGATTTGGGATTTGGGAGATTTGGGATATAGGGATTTGGGGATATAGAGATTTGAGGATATTGGCATTTACAAATATAGAGACTTGAGGGTATATGGA